AGGTCCTGTTCTCTTCTACGGCAGCCCTGTATTTTGGTCCTGCTCATAGCTATGATACCCTATGTTTGGTCCTGCTTCACAATGGGCTTTTGTGAATTTAGTCCTGCTTCATAATAGTCTAGAACAAAGAGCAGTCCTGCTCAATCTCGGGAGCAGGACCTCGTCGAAATGACCATCATAACATTTCGTAAGCAGTTGTGATTTGATTGGTCGAGGGTTTACCTACGTAGGTCAAAGAGCATTGTTTTGAAAACCTTTGGTCCTGCTATTTCTGAGAGCAGGACTGCAAGAATTGCCCTGTGCATTCTCGTTCTGCTATGAGATACTAGCAAGGAGGCCAGTTCAAGTATTATGGCGAGGCGATGTGAATGCGGATTTTCTGCTTGCTTTGGCAATACCAATGATATTATTATTGACAGCAAAACTTGCCTCAGTTGAGCTGCATAAATTTTATTTGTAACAAGACAGAGTCCAAAGTTCGCAAGAAAGAAATGTAAATAACAAGAATTGGCTGTATGAGGCACTCTGATTTCGGCCTTTGTACGATCGTTTGAGGCACGGTATATCATGGTGGCCTAAATAAAATTTTCTTAGACTTGGACAAGGACGATGAAAGCATAATTGAATTTACTGTTGTGTGATTGAAAGTTTTGAGTTGGAGAATAAACCAATTTCAGCGGAATTTGCATTTTTCTACCTGAATTGTTTTCTCGTCTAATGGTTTATCTAATAAAGTTGTTTTCATTGATAATGCGACACATTATTCGATTGTACCTCTCTTTATCAGCTGCAGAATAATTGTTCTGCAGAATATGTGAACTTGCCCCTACAGACTTTAAACTCTGTTGTTTATTAAAATTATTTTAATAGAGTATCTAGATTGGTCAGGTTTATATTATGTGTGGAATACCACAAATATATGATATGCAACTTCAAATGCCACCCCTACCCCCCTTTTATCGTCAAATTTAATTATCACCAATTTGAACTTTTACTTCAGCTGTAGAGGCTTACTACAATTTAACATATATTTGTTTGAAAAGTAAGCACCCTAAAGCACGTCTTTAAGTATGGGTTTATTTTTGAAAAGATAGACATCGATTTAAAATTTGCTTTTCACTGAATTTAAGAAAAAATTCATCTGCAAAATAGAATTTTTGTCCATAGGCTTTTCCAATTGAATAAGGGCGTGGCCCTGTCCATATAGCAGGACCAACAATTTTTGGCTAGCTTCGCCACTGTGCAAATGTTAATAGAGGATACTGAAAATCATAAATTTTTACTAAACCGTACGAAAGCCGAGTTCGATGTCATATGTATGAACATCTTTTTACTAGTTTTAAATTTCATTCTATTTTGAACTTCGTTTATTCTAGCTTTCAATTTCATCCTTGCCAAGAAGTCTAAAGTCGCAAAAGATACTTTGCTCAAATACACCACCTCTCCAATAATTTTCTCTTGGACGAAATACAAGATTGTTTCTTCCGAGAAGTGGGGGAACGTGTCTCCTCAGTCCCCCACCCTTCCCCTGTGGTACTGCTTCTGGCTTGGTTGCAGTGAAACGATCAAAAAGTCATGAAATGTTTGAAGACCCCACAGAATAGAAATATTCTCTATTTTGTGAATTACTTTATCAATGCAATTTTGCAACGCAATTTTGCTACTTTGCTGCGGTGGAAAAAGCCTCGATATCATTTACGCGGGAAAAATTGGCCTTGCGTCAGAAAATGTCTTACACAAAAACCTGTCCATAAATTGAAAAACAAATTGTGTTATAAATTGATTACTTTGATCATAGAAGTTCAAGAAGAACGTTTTATGGAGCAACATCACCCATCGATACTTGGCAGTAATGAATTTTTGCTGTCGAAAATTTTACAGGTTGCACTAAACTTAGACTCTAAGTTAGATGCTGTTTCTTTTTCTTGATAAATTTTTTTTTTGCATGATAAGCTAACGAATTCTCCGTTGGAAATGCAGTTCCCGCTCCGGGTTGATATTATCGATTCTCTATCTCGCTATCTACAGAACTTTCTTAAAAATGGACTTCAGATTTGAAATCATCGTCTTGAAATTAGTTTATATTGAGAACTTTATGCTGTTTGGACCGTTCGGTCGCGAGTTACTTTTTCGGGAATTTTCCTTTAGATTTGACGGGAATTTGTTGCTGTAATGAAAAAATTTCACCACAGAAACATGTTCCATCGAAATATATAGGAAAAGCTAAATGCTAATAGAAACAATCAACTATATACAACTATCCTTTCTGAATTTTAAATTTCACCAATAAAGCCATTTCTGACTGCTTCCAATTTTCTGAAAAAAAATATTATCCTAGATTTAACATCTTTTACTAACTAGTTCAATTTATGTTTAAAGTTCAGCACATCACAAAGCTTTTTATCAATGAAAATTTAAGTGAAAACCAAGAGACCATGACATTGATACATACTTTGAAATGAAAATATTTATGTTGCAGGCTTTCATTGAAAACTTACTTTTTCATTAGATTTTCTGCTTTGCTGAAAGTCAGCAAGAACAATCCCAGCTAAATTCAAAGTCTGACACCACAGAAAACAAAAGACATGTAAATGTCAAATTTTGCTATGATCAAGCAAAGAAACACAGCACTGAAATCAGATGCAAGTATAAATACTTTTAACAATATTGGCTATGTCTCTTGGTGTTGACAGTCTTTAAAAAAGTGTAAATTTGAAAAATATGCTTTTCTTTTCAAAGGATGCAGAATATGTGATTAATAAATGAGTCAGTCAAGGCTTATTACCAAAAACTGTAATAACATTTTTGTAGAGTAAAATAGTTTATTTGCCACCTAATTTGGACTTCTATAGTTTGAGGTTTATTCCATGTGATGTAACCACAATATGATACACTTCTCAAGATACAGTTCTAGAGGATGAAATGAGCTGAAATTGAAACCAAACTGGGAGGCATTTTTTACAAAGCATTATCAATCAATATGTATTACAAGTTTTGTACTCAAGCACAAACATTTGTTGAGAAACCCAATGCATTTGTTAAGAAACCCAATGTAAAGATCATTCAAACAAGTAATTTTGGAAAATTTCCAGTTTTAGCTGCTTTATCACAGCAAGGAACTATTTAGAAATTAATGAATCTTGCAAATTGCTTGTTGGTCTGTAAAATCATTTTTTCCAATGAACAACTAATTTTTGTCAGGGATGCCAGATCACATTTTAGAGTTGGGTGGGCTCTATAAATATGAGTGGGCTCCTTTTGTAGTTTGCCACCATCATCTTTGATGCCACAACCTTGATATTATACTT